GCAACTTTGATATAATCGACTCTATAAATCTTAATAAAAATAAATCTATCAAATCTAACCAAGAATCAATCGATTTTCAATGTTTGTTCAATAACGTAAATTACAACGACACAATTGATGATAATGACAAGAATCAAAGAGTACAAAAAGTTTTACAATGCATAAAAACTAATCACATGACAAATCTCGAAAAAGATTCAATTTTAAATATTTGTACAAAATTTCATGATCTGTTTTATTTAGAAAACGACAAACTGACATATACAAATACGATTACTCATAGTATCCCCGTCGAAAATGACGAAAAACCCATATACATAAAACCCTACAGATTACCGCACGCTCATAAAACAGAAATTCACCGACAAGTTTCACAGATGTTAGCAGACGATATTATTCAAAACTCGCAAAGTCCCTGGAATTTTCCTTTAATTATTGTCCCCAAAAAACCTGATACTGACGGAAATAAAAAATGGAGGATTTGCGTCGATTTCAGAAAATTAAACGCAATTACAAAATCGGACGCTTTCCCACTACCAAACATCACTGACATTATTGACCAACTAGGTAACTCACGATTTTTCACGACTCTAGATTTAGCTCAAGGCTTTCATCAAATTTTACTAAATAAAACTGACCGAGAAAAAACTGCATTTTCTACTGACTTCGGACATTTTGAGTATAAACGGTTACCGTTTGGACTTAAGGGCGGACCGGCGACTTTACAGAGACTGACCAATACAGTTTTGTCGGGCATACAAGGAATTAGAACTCTAGTTTATATGGACGACATAATAGTTTACGGGAAAACACTTGAAGAACATAATACCAAACTACTAGAAGTGCTAGAAAAATTACGACAATACAATCTAAAATTGCAACCCGATAAGTGTCATATTATCGGTGCACACGGTGTGTCTCCTGATCCTGATAAAATTTCCTCAGTAAAAAACTTTCCCACTCCTTCCAATCAAAAAGAAATAAAAATATTTTTAGGATTGTCCGGTTACTACCGCAAATTTATACAAAACTACTCACGAATTGCATTACCTCTAACCGAATTATTAAAAAAAGACGCAAAATTTAATTGGACCCAAGAATGTGAACTTGCATTTGACGAACTTAAACAAAAACTAATAAATCCACCTTTACTGCAGTATCCCGATTTCGATCGAGAATTTTCATTAACCACGGACGCAAGCGGTTTTGCATTAGGCGCGGTTCTATCTCAAAATGTCGAAGGAAAAGATTTACCAATTGCATATGCATCGCGAACCTTGCACCCCGCAGAAAAAAATTATTCTACTATAGACAAAGAACTTTTAGCAATCGTATGGAGCATAAAACATTTCCGACCTTACCTTTATGGTAAACCATTCAAATTGTACACCGATCACATGCCCCTTATCTACCTGTACAAATGTAAAGATCCAAATTCACGACAAATGCGCTGGAGGCTTTCCTTAGAAGAATATGAATTCGATATAATTTATAAATCTGGATCATCTAATACGAATGCTGATAGTTTATCTCGCTCATTTTTTGATATTCAAGAATTAGCTTCTAATGAAAATATTTCATCTATTCCTATCGATTCTAAACCAAAATTATCTCTTCTATGCAGATGCAATTTTAATTCCGAAAATAATTTTGAAAATTTTTTAAATACTATTAAAACCTCGGTTATAATTAATAACAATATCGAGGAATCGAATGAAGTTTTTCTCACATCCCTAAAACATGAAGAGTCCGCATTGATATTCGTGATAAAAAACCAAACTCCCGATGATAAATTAACTAAATATTTCGATTTTTTCCAACATAGTAACATTAATAACAATTTGGCTAATTACGGAACACATGATTTTTTCAACTTAAATTACTCTCAAAAACAAATTTTTTACTCAATTGTAAATAACATGAATTCCCAGCCAACACTTGAAGATTTTTTCCATTGCCTCTTAAATCTAAAAGCTCATTTAATTCAAGAAAATATTAAATCCATTGCTATTCCAGCTCCCGCACAATTTCAAAGTTTTTGCCACATACCAATAGAAAATTTTAGAATTTTATTACGATACATTTTCAGAGACACCGACATCAAATTAAAAATTTATTATGACAAAATTATTGAAAACCTAACACCGGATGAGATAAGTAAGATTTTAAACCAATTTCATAGATCACAATATACGGGAGGTCATCTGGGCCATAAAAAAACGTTCAGCAGAATACGTAGCATATACAAATGGCCAAAAATGCGAAAACAAATTAAATCATATGTAAGCAAATGTCCTGATTGTCAAAAAAATAAAGTATGTAAGAAAACAAGGCAACCTTTAGTTATAACAACAACAGCCCGCGAGCCTTTCGAAAAAATTTGTATTGATATTTGCGGCCCTTACCCCGTTTCTGACTCCGGAAATAAATATTTGTTGACATTTATATGCGACTTAACGAAATATGCAGGCGCCATCCCCATTTGTAATCAAGAAAGTTCGACAGTCGCAAATGCATTCGTTTCAGAAATTATTTTAAAATTTGGCTTTCCTAAGGAAATTCTATCTGATCAAGGCACCACGTTTACTAGCAATTTATTCAAGGACGTTTGCAAATTACTAAAAATTAAAAAGATAACAACTTCCCCGTACAGACCTGAGTCGAATGGCTCTTGTGAAAGGATCCATAGGGATTATGTTCAAAACTTGAGATCTTATATTAACAAAACCCAAACAGATTGGGACAAATGCATAAAATACGCAGTTTTTATCCATAATACAACTATACATAACGCGACAAATTACACACCTTTCGAGTTAGTTTTTGGTAGGAAAATAGAATTACCACTGTCTATAGCAAAACCTATATTTCAATATAACTACGACACTTACGTTAATGAGTTAAAATCGCGGTTATCGCACGCGAATAGTTTCGCTCGACAGAATTTACTGAGTAATAAAGAAAAAACTAAAAGTAACTATGATCAAAATTTGAACCCTGAAACCTTTGAGATCGATGAGTATGTGCTTTTGAGAGATGAAACTCCGTATCCGCGGCGATGCAAAAAACTTTTGCCCCTATGGAAAGGTCCCTTTAAAATATTAAAAACCGATAGTATAAATAGTACCATTTTGATCCATAATAAACATGTACAAGTGCACAACGACAAATTGAAAAAGTTTATACCAAACGAGTAAAGTAACATAATCTTTATCAAATTTTCTAAAAAAAATCTTATTATTGAATTGCATTTAATTAATTTGATAAATCTCATAGAATAATGTTAATTAGCACATAAATCAAATTATCAATTAAATTTTATTGATTAAATAATAATAATAAAAATAATATTTCTTTTCACAAATAAATTAAATCTAAAATATGTAATGTAAATGTAAATCTAGAATTTTTAAAAAAAAAGTCCAATTTATAATATTAATGTTAAGGGTTAGCTAAGTGCTTTTAGCTAACTAAATCTAAAATATGTAATATAAATGTAAATCTAGAATTTAAAAAAATAGTCCAATTTATAATATTAATGTTAAGGTTTAGCTAAGTGTTTTGATTTACTAAAATATAAATAAAAATTGATGTCTTTAGTTGTTATATCCATTATGCATCAACTCATAGTTATTAAGATAAAGATTTTAGTTATTAATGTACCAGTTAATTACAACCTGAAATTCGCTAATGTTATGTAATAAGCCGAGGACGGCTTAATTTTCACGATGGAGGTGTTGAGAATTGTGTTCTTTATAATTATAAATAATGGTCATAAGTAAATTCCTTAGAACGATGTATACTCCCAAGTAACGGTAAATGTTGCGAATATTTTGTACATCTGCCAGACAACCCTTAATAAAAGTTTATGATAGCTCATGTACCTTCGGCGAGCTATCATAAAACTAGAAATATTGGAAACATTTTAAAAATGTAAAAATATAAGTTAGTTAGTCCTGAACTCTTGAACAAGCAACAACTGAAATATTATAATAAAGCGATAAATAAATTTTTGTATCTTAATAAATTCTTTGATTTCACACACTTCCCGAAGAGCTACAAATGTTCCAATTCTCGTATTCAAAAGTATTCAAAATAAAACCCTAATCTACTCAAGAATTATTAAAAATTGGTTACATTTAATTATTAATTAGTAAATTTAATTACTAACGTCTCTTCAATATATATATATATATATATATATATATATATATATATATATATATTGTACCGTAAAATAACTGAGACGGCTTTCAGAGTATTGGTATTGTATTTAAATATATATATATATATACAGATATTTACAAAATATAGTGAATTCTGACAAGATGCAAGGTTTTAGAAGAAAGTCTTCTTATCGCTGGAAGGATCGGAGCCAAGCTTCTAGATTGAGCCAGTCACCAAGCGTTCGAGTGTTTATTTCCGTGTATCTCAACGTACTATATCCACTTTGGAACGTCGGTTCAGACTCTCTCAAGTTGCTTTTAATAAGTGTTCCTACTGAGTGTACTGACTTATTGGCACGCTGAGAGCTGATCCGCAAAGAGACAGATTCTGGAACGGGGCTCTGGTTTTATACTCTGGAGGTCCGTCGAAGCCCATCCCTCGTTGCTCTGGGGGTAGGTGGTGGACATTCTCCCATCTCGTTCCATCTTCCCTGTTTGCGATGGTTCGTTCCTTTTCCCCATCTCGTCTTGGTCTTCGGTGGTCATGTCCTTTTCTGACCTGTACTTATACTTAGACATGACCCCGTCGCAATGATGCAATTTGTGTTTATGTGCTCATGCAATATCTTCTTTCTCTTATAACCGACGTGCTTGCCTGTTCTCGCGCACGCAGTCGAACTACCCTCTCAGTGTGCCTCGATGCGTCTCGGTGCGCCTACAACTACTAGTGACAAGTGCACACATACCGTTACTTGTCACGACACTGTGTACTTAGCATGGGCCGCACTGGGGTGTATTTAGCTAGATATTTAACATGCTACATTTCTAATATTTCTAACCTGTTTGTATTGGCATATCTTCTGTCTCTGTGTCATCATTTTCATCTTCTCTATAAAAATTAGGTTCAGAAATGGTTGACATTTTTTCTTCATTTTCTATAAAAATAATCTCATTTGGTTCTTCTAACCTGGCATACTCATTTTCTTCTAATTCTACTAATTGTTCACTCCTTAAAAATACAAAATTAGGATTATTTTGACAAAAATCAATAAAAGTTTTATAAGCAACATGTTTTATAACAAGGTCATTATTTTGAATATCTATTAAAGAGTAAAAAAAAATTTTGCTAAAATATTTGTGTAATTTTAATTTGGTGTAATGAGAAATATTTTCACTTTCAAAATATGCATAATCATTCTTTAAACAACCAAGATGGCTATTTATTTTTCTAAACACTCTTCTTTTGCTTGATTTTCTGTTTAATCCGCTAAGAATTTTTAAAAATCCTTCTAAAAAAATACAGTCTATCATATTGTTAATACAATTTCTATCTATCAAATCACTTGACAGTTGCTTAAAAAGAATTTTTAGCAAAGCTAAAAGAAGAATAGTTAAAAAAATAACACAAATTAATTGTAAAAATGAAATATCAAAAATGTAAAAATTAATGTCATTAATAAGCATAAAAGAAACAAAGATTACAATTGTAAATGCCAAATGAAAAGAAATGGTATTTAAGTTGGTCAATAAAATGTAAAGAGTTTCATATTTTCTTGATAAAGCATATCTGTCACAAAAAATATGATTGATTCTAAGATTATAGTTGAAAAATATGCCCAGAATGCAAAAAATAAAACTTTTTTTCTGTTAAAAAATATTTCGTGAGAAGAGGTAGAATATACAAAATTTTGCCTGTCAAAGATGTTTGTTGTGTAAAATGAAATGGTTTTGTCATCTAAAAACAAAGCAAAAAACAGTAAAAAAAGAAGAACCAAGAGTTTGTAAGAAATACATTCTTTTAAAAAAGAACAGATTTTTGACTTAGGTTTGTATTTGTAATGACCTGGGTCATGCATGGATCTGAGGCATTACATCTTCTACTTCACTTTTCTCCATTACCTCTCCACTTTTCTGATCAGTTACATCTGTATTCTCTCCAATCACTATTTTTTCATCTTTGGATTGCATAAATTAAGAATATTTTCTTTTAAAAATAAAAATTAACCAATAAAAAAACTAGAAAAAATACTTTAATATTCACCTGATGAATCAAAATTCTCTCCTCTTTCTAAGTTGTAATACATTTTTACGATCTGAGAAGAATTTGTGGAAGAATCAACATTTTTATCTTCTCTTTCTCGAATAAATCTAGGAAATCTTAAAGACAGTCCACTCCCTAGAGATGAGCTTCCAGCGGTGTACACTGGAGAGGAAGAAAGCCCTGCAGCCTCTACTTCCCATATTTCTTCGGGTTCGATCCACACATCGGGTTGTGTTCCTTCCTTAAAAATCAAATTTATTGGAGATTCTATGATTTTTTGACTGAATTTGTTGTAAAAAGATAAAAGTTTTTCGTCATTAAAACCTGTTCCTAATTTACATACAGTTTCAAATTTACCTAATTCGTCATTATAACACCCCATTAGAAATCCTCCATAATTACCAGTACGTTTTCCCTTTCCATAATAACATCCTAATACAATTAAATCAAAAGAATCAGCCATCCCAGTCAGATAATCTTTTTTTAGTTTTATCCAATTATAACACCTTCTAGAAGGGGTATATTCAGAATTCTCTCGTAAATTTTTTATCATAATTCCTTCACAATTATCCACGATAGATTTATTGAAAAAAGGATCAATCTCTTCGACAGTGTTACAATCTATTTTCTTTACAAACATAAACTTTCCTTCTATTTCTTTAAAATTTTCTGTAAAAATTTTTCTTCTTTCTTCTAGCTTTTTTTCTTTTAAGTATTCTTTAAAAAATAAAACATCAAATGTAAAAACACACACAGCTATTTTAATATTTTTAAGCGAAACATTTTTTCTTTTTCTGGTTGTTAATGTTTGAAAGGAAAGGATTTTTTTAGATTTTAAATCATAAGCTACTATTTCTCCATCTAAAATAAAGTCGCAATCATCTTTACATATATTTTTTATGTTTTCGCATAGATCGGGGTATTTTTCAGTCAGGTCTTCTGAATTCCTTGAATAAATTTTGTAATTTTCTCCTTTTTAATGAATTTGTGCTCTTTCTCCATCATACTTGTATTCACAGGTAAAAGAAGTTCCTTTAATTCTATTCATAGCAGATGTAATATTCTTACTTGGTTGGGCCAACATTGGTTTTATTGGAATAAAACTTAGCTAGTTGGCTCTGTATTTTGCTGCTATAACCCCGTAATCTCCTGTTTTTCTATGTTCTTCTTTTATTAATTTAACAGATCTGTTAGTAAATTCAGAAATTACTTTTATTAGAATTGTTTCGCCAATACCTAATTCTACATTGTAATGTTCAGGTAAAAATCTACCTAAACATAAATAACATGCTGAGATCATCCATTCTGGGGAATAATCTTTTAGTGTTTTGAGTTAATTGGATAATATTTCCTGTATTTCTAATCTTTTCTTGGTTTGAGAAATTTCTTCTAAAGTATTACTTAAAGTTTTGAATAATACAGTTTTTTGTTCCTTCATTTTTAATTTAAAAATTATTTTAATTTAAAAATAAATTTTAACATATTTTAATAACTGAATTAAAAAGAAATCTTTTATGAAAAAATATTGATAAATTAATTATGCACATTGCATACATCGTTAATGTGTAACTAATAAACTTAGTTATTTTGACTGTAAGGTTAATTTTTATTTTTTGCTCCTTTAAGGTAAAAACAATATCTCTGCACTTAGGATTTGAGATAAAGAAACTAATTTTTTTCATTATTTTGGTACTTGATTTATGTTCAAAATATATAAAATAAAATACTATTTTTATGCTGCTTATATTAAAATTTATTGTACTAAAATACCATTCTAAGTAGCTTCTTTTTGCGCATCCAGGATTTAAGTAAAATAAAATATTTGTGGATTCATTTTTATTTTTTTTTTCAAATTTAATTAAATAGTAAAATTATAAAAATAATCATCATAAATCATTTAATTAAATTGTTACAATCATATTTCAGGTCTAAAGTAATTTTTTCCTCGGTAAAAAAATTTATTTGTTCTATTTTTTAAACTAGATCTCTTTTTAACTCCACATAAAAAAATTAATTTTTAGACTTATAATTTAATAGATGTAAATTATGTATATTATTTGTAGAATAAACACTACATTATGTGATTGTTATGCTTCGAGCCGAAATATCCCTATATGAGAAGGATTAAGTAATTTATACATTATAATGATGTCGCAGCAGTTTTATATTAAGGAAAAGGGGGAAAATGTTGTCTGACATGTTATAAAAATTAAATTTTAAGTAGTTAGTGAAGCTATAATAAGTGGTCTTTTTATTAAAATTTTCTTTCAGAAAATAAGATGGATCTTGAAAACAAGAGTTCAAACCAAATAACAACCATATGATTGTGATACTATTATTTAAATAAATATTAGTTACTAAACTGTTGGTCAAATTTATTTTTTATTTAAATCATGATGATATATTAGATCAGAATTTTTTATAAAAACTATTGTTTAAGTTATTGTTTATAACAAGATAAAAAAACCTTTTTACTCATGGAGCTTTTTTTATATAAGGACTTTTGAATCATTTATAAAATTGGGATTTTCAATGCTATGTAAATAAAATTTTTTATTTAATGAAAGTAAAAAATTTGTTTTTAAAATACATAGATATTAAATCTTTTAAATTTAAACACTTTACATGTTGAGGGTATTTTAATTACCATGTTAATGACTTGTTTGACTTTGCTTTTTGCTTAAAGGCAAATTTATATCATGCTCAATTTTAGTAACGCGTAGTTAATATTGGTCAACTAAATGAGGTTTATAAATTGAGATCTTAGATTTGGTTTAGGTGTGACATAAAAAAAGATGGTTTTGCAACAAAAAATAACAAAAAGAGGAAAAAAACAGCTCGCCTGTTTTGAAGGGCGTGGATATTTAACAGGATCTTTTCAAATTCCTATAAGATTTTTTTAGAGTTGGAGAAAGATTTGATTTTATTCAACCAGTTCAATTAATTCAACTTTGAAAGTGACAGTACTTAGAATATATCTTTAGAAAATGCTCAAATATAATCTAAATGAAATGGATGTGTTTATCAATATCATATAATCTATTGTTATATTCTTATATTAAAGAATCTAAAATACTTTATAGACTTAAAAAATAAGTTTTTTACAATTATTTTTTATAAAATTTTTCGAGAACTTAGAAAAGTAGCAAACTGGTATTTCTGAGCGGGATGGGGTTTCAAAGATTATTAATTTTTTTAAAAACTTGTACTCTAAATCGTATTTTATAAATATTTTTTGTACCTCTGCAGGTGAACATTTAAAACATTTTGTTAGGCTATAATATCTGACAAAAATGCTAAATTTATAATTAACGCTTCTTCTGAAAGACCATATAATTTGTCTTGTTCGTTCTGAATTTTCGGATTTGGTTTCGTAAAGATAAAATTTTAGTCAAAGATTGGCCTGTAGAAAGTCAACGAACTTTTTAGTAATATGGTGAATCCACGCTGCATGTTTCATCATTTATGTGAGCATATGTCAAAATATATGATGACCCATTGCATTTGAACTGATAAAGTTGACTATCGCAAAAGTTCTATTTAATGTAACTTATAGAATGCTAAATTACGCGCAAAGATTTAGTTAATTAAAATACAATGATAAAATAAAGAGGTCTCTCAGAAAAAAATATTTTTTTCAGCAAAGCAATATAACCTTCCTTTTTTTCTATCATAGAAATTGTCCGTCAGAGCAAAAACTAACTAGGATGGTGATAATTTATGTGATTTTTCACATAAATCTTTAAAGTTTCTAAAGGATATCGACATCGCGATTATGTCAGTAATTGTACCTAATCTCAGGAGGTCTGCATAAGAATCAAAATCTTTAGTAGTAACACGAATATACTATAAAATTTGTGCTGAGTCTATTTTATCCTTAATTTCATTCAAGCAATTAAAAATATATGTCTTTATTGTTTATGATTGTGTAATATTGCTTGTTATATTTTTCGCAGATTTATGCTGTCTATTTTTTCGTTGCCTGAGAATGAGAAATCCATACGAAGACTGTTTCACTATACTTTCTGTATAAAATATAGGGGGCGATGCTTAGTTGTAAGGGGCGTTTAAAGCACAAAACTAAAAAAATAGTATAATATTAATATTATATATTAATAGATTTAAATTAACACTGAATTATATAAAGATAATATTTTAGTTAAAGTTATTCAAACATATCTGCATTGGTGTATTAGTAAATACATCCGTTTTAAAGCTGTGCACCGCCAATTCTTGTTTCGCAAAAGGTTTAATGAAAAGAATGGTCCATACGTTTCTTTGTGTGTCGATAATTTGTGTAACTTTTCAAAAACGTGTAACTTTACCAAATTTTGTAAAAGATTCTTTAAGAGATTTTCTGTAAGAGATTCTGTAAAATTGGCGGATATATGATCACTATTTGTCGTGATATTAATTATATTTCTTTTGATATCTACCCGTAACTGTCCACTCGAATGCTGCGTTTTGTAAAATAGATTTATCGAAGCCTAGTATAATTCTTTCGTTACCTAAAATTTCGTTACCTAAAACGTATCAACACCTATCAACATATCTACTTCGCACGGAATATTTAAGTGTGAATCCAAAAGTTTTAATCCATTAGGAAGATTTAGTTCAGAAATTTGGATTCGCTGCGCGGATAGTAGACTCGATATTTTCGTAAGCACAAAGGCATTTTTATTTTTTACAAATGTATGGTACATTCATTAAATATTTCTAAATTTGCACAATTATTCGATTTCGTTGAAATTCCAACAACACCGTGGAGCTTAAGGCACGTGGATTGAGATTTAACGCGTTATTTTTCAACGCAAACATCGTTGAAAGTTCTAATTTTGACAAACGCCATAAAATCGATACCAATTTTTGCAAACTTTGACGAATTTTCTTGTCGAATTGACTTGTCGTAGGACCGTAATATTTTAGTATTATCTATAAGACTGTGGTATCTACCGTCAAAAAAACATAAAAATTGTCTAAAAAATTACTACTACTTATTGATATAGTGTACTTATGTTAATAAAAACACTTTATTACAAGAAAACGGCCTGGCCGATCATTACCAAAGACTAATTAGGTCGATTCCCAACCAATATGTTTCCAACAGTTTTTGAATTTTCAAAATCGATTCAGAATTGCGGGTTAAAACGTGGACGAATTTTTTTTCACTTTTCTGCGATTTACAAAGAAACGACTCGGCCGATCGTCGAACAAAACTGAGAAACGTTAATCCTCATAGAGATACATCGAATGGCTTTTAAATTTTTGAAATCGGTCCATCCATTTTTGAGAAAACGACGATTTACGGCAAAAAATCTAAACACACACACACACATAATGCTTTCCAATTGTTGCTCTCATTCAATTCAGAATGGCTTGAAACGTCGAGAAAACATAAAATTAGCGAATTGGATTTTTTGATGAAAACAAACTTCTCCTTCGGAAAGTTTGTAAGGGGGGCGC